ACTACATGTTGTGGAGGTTGAACTAACTATTGTGCAAAGTTTAATTCTGTTGTGAGAAATGCACCAAAGCAACTGAGAAAAACTGTAAAATGGTATAAATGATGCATTTAAAAATATTAGTAAAATCACTTCTGCACAGCTCAGGTTTTGCTGATTTTACTTTCCTTTTCAGATCCACACTACAGAAATCAGTGCCTGGCCTTAGAGTCATTGATAGCCAGGAGACAGATTCCTTTTTCTTGCCTCCAGCTGTTCAGCAGGTCAGCTCGGCCTCAGACTGCTTCCTAACTTTCTGCCAGGCTCAGCTTCAGCAGACTCAGAATTTACAGCAGCATCACAGCAGGGAGCACAGGTAAGAGACAGGCTGCCTGTGTCAATGTGCTTGCAGTGTGCTATGTGTTTAGTGTGGATAGCTGCAGGTTTTGCCGGTGGTTGGATGTGTGTTTGACCCCAGAAGTTACTGCTAACACTTTCTTAAGTTATCCACATTGTGGAAGAGAAAACAATCTGCAGATACAAGTGCTTATTGTGAACTCAGTTTACACAATTTCCATATTGTCAGATTTCATACTCACACTCATCTTATATGATCTGTATTTGTAAACTAAAATATTGCAGGTAAGCTGCAGATTTCTGAAGAAGCTTGAAAGCAGATCATGGGGAAGAGGTGCGAAATGTTCAGCTTCAAATAATAAAAAAAAATTGGTTATGGTAATAGAAAACGAATACTGTTCTGCAGAATTCTCGTCTCTTCTACTGTATGCATAAAAATCAAGTTATGTTTGACTGAGAGTACTTAAGATATAAAGAGATAGGATGAAGGCATGAGGTCAAACCGAGAACAGGTTGAAAAGAAAAGAAGAATCAAATAGTAAAAGGGAATAATAAAGAACAGGGCAAAACAACAAAAATAACCCAAAACCAATGCACCAGAGGTTATATTACACTTTTTTTGTCGTGTACTGCTGAACCTGTCAGAGATACCGCCATCAAGCAGTGAGGAATGTTAGCTATCCTCTTGTTATGTCTGATACATAGGGCGTAGTGAGCCTAAAGACAACGTCCATCTATTTTCACAAGTCCTTCAATGTCACTGGCCTCTGCACATATTGACACTCCTATACAAGGAGGACCACCAGCACTTAAAACAGTGGTCAACTTTCTGCTTATCTTCCTGACCTTTTCAAATTACACAGTACAAAAGATGAAACGCGGTGGCGGCTTCTTGTATGGGTCACATCGAGGACTCCTATGGCTTGGGGGAGGTTAGCGTGGCCCTCCCCTTGCTTCGCCCCTCACTGAGTGCCCTCTACCCTTCTGGCCTCTGGACAATGAGCCATTTTGGGGGCTTTGCAAGAGCCAACACAGCCATTTAACCCCTGGCCTGACCTTGTGTCAGACTGAGTTTTTAGGGGAGTTGAGAAGAGTGCCACACGCCAGTCAACTGGTGACTGTAAGGTGAGGTACTGTGGCGTATTAGGGCTATTACTCTCTTTTACAAGGTGTAGGGATTCTACCAAAGTGCCTCTGTTTCACCCATAAATGAGCATGCCTTACAATCCAGTCCTGTATGCCATTAAATCAAAACATTTTGTGGATGTGGTGGGAAAAAGACCAATAAACCCATCTACTACCGCAATCTCCCCACTTTTTCCACTGCGTTCTATGGCACTCAGTATTTTTTAGGTTTGAATTGCTCCTTATGTGGTTGTAATGTAAAAGAAGTGAATCAAAAATTATGTTTCTATGTCATGTGGAAAAAGATGGGTTATAGAGTTTTGCTAAAGCTAATGTGTGAGCAGTCTGAGTTAAACAAATGAAATGAGTACTTTCCACTCATTGTGCCTTCTGTTTGTGGTACCATCACACAGTATGGTAAAGAAAAACTGCTAAGGCAAAAAGCCAAAGCTTTGAAGAATACACCAGTATTAGTCCATTTCAGATTGCTGAAGCCTCAGTTTAGCATTAGCTAAATGTGCCCTGAGCATCTTGCAAAGGGTAGTGTGAACAGCAGAAGCAACTACAGCAACCTATATGTTTTTTTGTGTTTGTTTTCATCAACATTTTAGCATTATATCTTTTATCCTTTCTCCCACCACTCACCCCAGCCAGTCATGTGAGATAGTTGGCCCTGCCGGAGGTTTTCATCCCCACTGTTGCCTAGTGCTTGCTCTTAGGGGTCGTCTGATTGTTGGGATTTTCTCTCTGTTTTTATCAATTTTATTGTTATCACCAAACCACATTTTTCACCCACAATGTAGAAAAAGTGAACATAGAAGTGAAACAGTTAAACAAGACTTTTGTTGTGTTAAGTATACATATCATTTCTGGAGCTGTGAGCTCTTCTATGTTCTGTTCATAGTTGTCTGACAGTTGCGACAGACACAAATTGAATTTTCAAAAGGACAGTAAACGCCTCTATAATATAACTAGTATAGGGTTTGCTGCTGGCTCAGGAATTTCTTGCAGCTCTCGACCTCAGTTTTTTGTTGAGTGGCCTCCTGGGGACACCCATGTGATAAAGCAACACCAAATATCTCTAAATTTCCTGTATTGCAAGTCAGAAGACAAATAACCACTGAGAGCTTTTAGCATCTACATACATGGTTGGATATGTTCACAGGCGAGCATTAATCAGTGAATAACTTTTCATTTTCCTGTCATGAACATTGTATACTGAAGCTTTCTTTTACCCGTGTTATGGTGACCCTGGAGTGAACCAGCAGGTAGAGGGAGGGAGGGTCACTGGTGTCACAATCCTTTAAGACCTTCTGACTCTTCTCTTTCTTATCCCACTGAGAGTGAAGAGCGAGGTCTTTGTAGAGAAGGAGTTGCACTACTTGTGGCTACTGGCCTTCCAGACTGGCCGAGCGTCTCTGGCCCCTCGGGGTTTAAGACAAGGAGCGGAGCATAGCTAATAGATTAATTAAGTTTCCATTGAGGTAGCTTTGTTGTCAGTTTATCCCCTCAATGAAAGAGACATTATATGGTATTAGGGCACACACAGAGCAGGCAGACAGCTCTTTCTCTCTCGCCCCCTCACCACCCCTACCCTCACATAAATATAAGGACACACACTGACCACACCTATCACAGGCTGGCCAAGAATAAGAGCTAAAAATGGATATATATGTGATATTTAACTCAAAATGGAATGGCTTTGATCCTTTTTGAATGATTTAATTTTCTAACACCACCGATCACTGTGTGTTTTTAAATAAATCTTTCTTTGAGAGTTTTGGTTATAGACTAGTAGTATAATCCTCATTGTGATTAGAATGTATGTGAATCTATTCTGGAAACAGAACAATTTTTTTCTTATCACCAGTATAATTAAATCTGACCTGCATAAAAGTCAAAGTTATAGCTTATCTGCTTTTACAGTATCAGAGCAATCCTATCCACGGAGTTCACCTCACAGGACATAGAGAAGACATATTTAAAGAATCTCATTCTTGCATTAAACAAC